TAGATTAAATATGAATGCAAATTCTTTGTTACTCCTCCCATTGACAGGTGAAGTCTAATCCCCTCAACCCTTGAATCTGGGCTGGCCTTAGGGACTTGCTTTGACCAACAGAAAGAGGCTTAAGTGATATTCTGGACCTGCAAGACTAGGTATAAAAAGCATAAAAAGCATAAAAAGCCTTCCTGCTTTCAGTGAGTATCTTTCAGAGCTTGCTCTGGGAAAAAAAAGTCTGCTCCGATGTAAAACAAATGACTCTCTGAGACCACCATGCTATGGAGAAGCCCAAGCTAGTAACATGGAGAGGCCACACCGAGTTCCAGCCATCCCAGCCTAGGTGAAACATGTGAATGAAGAAGCCTTCGTATGACTCCAGCCACACAGCCACTACTGACTGCAATCATGTGAGGAACCCTGTGTAAGAACCAACCAACTACGCTTGCCAATCCCCAGACCTGTGAGAAATAATAATGTTTTAATCTACCAAGTTTTGGGGTGATTTACAGTAATAAATATCCAGAAAGTTGTCTTATAACTTCTATGATTATCAGTTCTCTAAAACAAAATGAAAAAAATTTGAAATCCTCCTTTGAACTAAAATAAATCTCTTTATATAAAGCTGTTAATCCTTTACATTTTACAGACTTGTAACAATAATAAAAAGTTTACATTTTTTTTAATGTCTGCTATGTTCCAAGTGCTTTATACGGATTAGCTTATTTAATTCTTGAAACAGCTCTATAAAAACAGGAATTATTATTAGCCCCAATTTACCAGTATGAAAAAATGAACAGATTAACCCTCACATGCCCATGCACTAGTAAGTTGCACTCTTAACCACCATCATTTGCAAAAGCCAATAAAAATCAACATTAAAGCTGTAAGTGAAACAAATACTTACGGGACTTTTCTAGGGACGTTCGGTATGTATAATATACTAGAAAAGACAAATATATCTCAAAATGTGTTGAAATCATTAAAATCATTCATTACTTCAGAAAAAGAAAGCATTCTTTACCTTACCTAAATGACATGGCAAAGTATTTGGACACTTAATACTATAGCAGTATTATTAACCCATGAGTAAAAAAGTAAAAAACTTCAGCTGGCAAAACATAGCTTACACTTACCAATTTCCTGCCGAGTGCTGCACACTCCAACTCCATACTCCTCGAGGACTTTGGCGGCTGCTTCTTGACATGCTCCAGTATTCCGTGCAAATCCAAGATAGTTGTAGGAACCCATGTTTATAACACCTTTAATTATATTTCCTGTATACCTGTGTTTCAACGGCATAAAAATTAATGAAACTCATGAGCAAAAAAATAGTTAAATGTGATAGCAAATGCATTGGTAAACATACAGAAAAGCAGTATATATACAGGAATTAGAGAACAAGGTCCAAAGTCTGTATGAAAAAAATCTCAAACTCACTATCAATTAGGGAAATGGAAGTTAAAACAAAATTGTAATTTTCACTTATTAATGGTGATAATGATTTAGAAACTGATTATATTGAGCATTGGCCAGGACAGCCTCATATACTGTAGATAAGAATATCAATCAGTACTTTTTCTTTGGAGGGCAGTACGGCAGTACTTACCCATTAAAAGATCTACATACTCTGACTCAGTAATTCCTACACATTAGCATGTACACATGAGGATCCTTTAAGAGCCACTACACAATTTGCCACGTCCCTTCCCCAGGTACAGGGACCAGAGACATTCCATATGTTGGAAACTGAGTCAGCCTGCACTGCTAAGTAAGGACAACATAGTTTG